AAGAGGGGAAATGGGGGAACAGAATTGGGGGGAATGGGGGGAAAAGGGGGAGCAGAGGGGCAGCGAGGGTGGGATGGGGGAGCAAAGGGGGTCCCCAAAATCCAGAGCTGGGGGGACCCCGAGGGAGGGGATCCAGGGGAGCCCAGGGTGGGCTGGGGGGGTGCGGACCCACCGCAGGGCTGAGCCCCTCCGGCCCCGGCCCCTCTCCCCCAGGAGCCCTCCCTGTACACGGTGAAGGCCCTGCTCATCCTGGACAGCCTCGGGCAGCGCCTCCTGGCCAAGGTGAAGCCCGGACCCCCCCTGCCTCAGTTTCCCCAGGGGATGCTGCCCAGGTCCCCCAGCCCCCCTGCTCACCCTGGCTCAGGCATCTCCCCCCGCCAGGCTGCGGGGTCTCGGAGGGGGCTGGCAGGGGCCTTGGGGGGTCCTGGCAGGGTCCTTGGGGGTCCTGGCACACGACCCCCCCGCGCAGGACCCGTGCTGCCCACCCTGCCACCGCTGACCCCCTGCCCATCCCCGCAGTACTACGATGGCACCTTCCCCACAGCCAAGGAGCAGGCGGCCTTCGAGAGGAGCATCTTCAGCAAGACCCACCGGGCGGGCGGTGAGCAGGGGGGCTGCTCCGGAGCTTTGGCAATTGTGGGGGGACACGGGTGCAAAAGGTTTCATGCCGGAGGGACACCGGGCTTGGAGCAGCTTCCCCTCCGGTGCAGTCCTGGGGGACACCAACACCGTCCCGTCTCCCCACGCAGGGGAGATCGCCTGTCTGGAAGGACTCACCGTCGTCTACAGGAGCAGTGTCGACCTCTTCTTCTACGTGGTGGGGGGCTGCCAGGAGAATGAGGTAGGTTGGGGGGGGCAGCCCCGGGGACCCCCCGGGGACCCCCCGTGACCCCGTTGACTCCCCCGTTCTCCCGCAGCTGATGCTGTCGGCCGTGCTCGCCTGCCTCCTCGACGCTCTCGGCCACCTCCTGCGGTGAGACCTCCTCCCACGTGCCTCGGGTGGGGAAACTGAGGCAGGGCACGGGGCAGCAGTGCGCCCCAGGTGACGCCCTGAGCTGGTGCGAAACCCCTGTCCCCTAACGCCCCGGGGGGGACGGGGCCAGCGCTGCTTTGGGATGGCAGGGGTCTGGGTCCCAGCACCTCGCACGGGACCCCAGGCTGTGAGTGGGAACGGGTACAGCGACCTCTCCCACCCGCTCGCCCACAGGAAGGAGGTGGAGAAGCGCTGGCTGCTGGACAACATGGAGGGGACATTCCTGGTGGTGGATGAGATTGTGGACAGGGGGTGAGCTCCTGCTGGGGGGGGCAGAGGGGGAGAGGCAGCCCGCAGCACTGGGGGTTGCAGGGACAGGGGGTGGCATCGTCCCCCCTGGGTGCTAGGAAGGGGTTGGCCCCATCTCGGGGTGCCAAGGGGGAGCTGGGCACCCCAGCTTGCCAACGTTGCAGCAGCTCTTCCTCAAGCCTTTGCCAGGGCATCCCAGAGCTTTGCACAGGGAGGGAAACTGAGGCACGGGGCGGTGGCAGTGATGCCCAGTGGGGTGCAGCCAGGATGGGGAGGGAGCCATGCCGGGAGGATGCCAGTGGGCTGGTGCCAGCACCGCGCTGCTCCGCAGGGTGATCCTGGAGAGCGACCCCCAGCAAGTGATCCAGCGGCTGAGCCTGCGGGTGAGTGCGGCCACCCCGCGCCATGGCCTTCCTCCACCCTCCTCTGCACCTCCCCACCCTCCTCAGCCTCTCTCCCTCCCCAGGCCCCCGAGCCGGCGGCATACGGCTTCGTCCTCTTCGACTACCTGACGGGCAGCTCAGAGAGGAAGGATGCGGGGGACGCCGGCGGCCGAGAATAGGCAGCACCGAGGAGGTGCGAACCCTTCCCCGTGCCGGGGGCCCGGCCGGGATGGGCAGGGACTGGGGTCAGGGTCTGGCCGCTGCCGGAAAGCTGCCGAGCACGGCGACCTCGGGGGTGGTGGGCAGCGAGCAGGATGGTTGTGCAGGGGATGCTCCCCACGTCGGGGCACCCAGTGGGTCCCCTTCTCCCCATCACCCTGCTCCTAAAGCTGATGATGCCCTTCCCTCTCCCAGGTTGATGAGAAGCCTCTGGCTGAGCAGAGCACGTCCCAGGTAAGACCTTTGTTAGCCTCGCTAACGAGGAGGGTGTGATGCCCAGCTGTACCCACCAGGATGGAGATGGGGCACACCCTGGGTCCCACTCTCGTTGTCACCCCAGCATGGGGTCCCATGGACCCCCAGTTGCTCGGGGTGAGGTTTGCCCCCCTCCCCGGCCAAGTGAACCCAGGCATCCAGCCGGGAAGGGCACCCTAAGGTGGGCCTGACCCCATCCCCACCCCTGGGCTCTCACGCCAGGTCCTGCAGCCCACCAAGGAGCACATCGAGCCATCCCCACTGACATGACGGCTCCGGGGTCTCCCCTTGGAGGGGCTGGCTGAAAGGTGGGACCCTGGGGCTGGGGGACGCCAGGCAGCAGGACACACGGACCTTCCCGGGCATCCCCCCACTCCGATCCCAACCCAAACCCCGCGCCCCAGCCTGGATCCCCGGGACGGCTCCTCCCCGGCTGCGCCACCTCCAGAAGCCCCTTGCTGGGTCTCATCTGCCCCGACATTAATAACACCGAGGGAAAAATTAAGCGCTAAGGAGGGAGAATGGATTTGCCATTCCTGGTCGCTCCCAGCCAGAACCAGCCACAAATAAAGTTTTCCTCCCTGGTTTGGTGTCCTCTTGCTGTCCGTCGCATCGGGGCAGTGGGTCCCTGGGTGCACGTCACCCATCGAGGCCGGGCTCTGGGGGCTCTTCGGTGCGTTTCCCTTGGAGGCAAAGGTGACATTTCTGGGGTTATCTGTTAAATCCCACTCTCTACGGGTTCATCATTTCAAGCCACCGCAGACCAATGGAGTCCGGCACAGGGCGGCCTGGGGCTGGTGGGAGGCTGCGGTGCCCCGCGGTTGGGGTGTGGGTCCGGGCACAGAGCCGGGAGCCCCCCACCCTCTCCCTGGCCGTGCCCAGGGTGGGGATGGGTGCACGCAGCCAAGCACCCAAACGCTGCCCACCCGCGGGTGCCCACGCATGAGGCAGCCATGGTGCTTGCACCCACAGTCCACTCTGCCGTGGTCACGCTGCACCAGCCTAGGGGCCCCCCTTACCTTGGGATCACCCTCTTCCTGGGAACCCCTCACCCCGGGGACCCTCCCCACGCTGGGGAACCCCCACCCCACCCACGGACCTCCACCGCCTCTTGCGCGACGCTCCCTAACGCCGCGGCCTCGGCACAGCTCTTGGTCGCCGCTCCCTGGAAGGACCCTGGTGCGCTTTGCATAGCCCAGCCCCGCCCCTTATATGGTGCATAGCCCCGCCCATGCCTGTCTTATCCCCGCCCCTCCCTGGATGCCC